TATATATATATATATATATATATATGAAAATATTGATATGTGTATGTGCATGGAAAATTATAAACATGATGAATGAGATTGAGCATGACATGAAGTCGATCGTGACATAAACCGATAAATTAACTAATTGTTTCATATGTACCGAGCATATTTTGATATTGGTACCACATGCATGCAAATCAAGAGATTGTGTTGCATTACATACTTGCATGTAAATGAATTATTTATGATTCACTCATTATGAATGAGTGATTGTGTTGATGGTGATGAATGAGTTATTGTATTTGATAAGGATAATTATTTGTTAATATCATTGTGTAAATGTTGTATGAAGTGCATTGAATATTCATATTGTATTTCTCACTCCCTTTGTTTCCATGTCTTGGTTATATATATGTTATTGTAGGTAATGCTCAAGATTTTGATGATGTCAGTGACGAGATTTAATCCTTTCCTTAGAAGTGCTTTGATAGAATATTTGCCATTGAGACTTAGATCATGATTAGTTTCATATTTTTGCATTAGTATGAAGTTTGTGTTAAAGTTTGTTATGTGAGTATTTATCCTATGATGAAGGTTTCACCTTAACTATTTTATGCATGAATTTGAAGAATTTTATGTGTGTTATGAAAGTTTGTCATGTTGGATAAAGAATGTCACAAGATGCGCTTTGAAACATTACTTAAAATGCTTTTTGTTGTCCTATTATATTAGGATATAATTGTAATTTGTATTTTGGTTGTCATGTTAGAATGACATTAGTATGATTTTATGATACATTATGATAAACTTGTTTTTGTAATTATGTAGCATGACAGTATTTTGCTGGCGAACATGTATTTTGGTCATTATTTGACAGATGTTTTATGGCAAGAAACAATTGATTACTTATGAATTTAATGTTTTAATTTGTTATTACTGATATGTTACTATTGATTTAAATTGTATTTTCATTGTTCCATCTATTTTTATTAAGACACATGGTGTGAAATTTTCATTTTATTGAAGATAATTTGAAATGTCATGTATGTCTAGACAAAAAAGAAATAAAGATGAAAAACTAAATAGGTACCATGAGTTCAAGAGGAAAATGAAAACTTTGTCCCACAAAAAATACTTAGATTATGAAAGATATTTTGCTACTAAAGAACAAATGAATACTTATCTTAATAAGTTCTATAGAAGAGCATTTGTTAAACCAAAGATCATATTATCACTTGGAAGACCATACTTTCCTAATTTAGTAAAGGTTTTTTGTGACAACATTACTTTGTAGTCAAAAGTTGAAAATGTCAAGATTTGAGTCATGTCACTTGATTGGTCAACAATTGCCAATTTAAAGTATGAAGGGAATAAATTTGATATTGTCAACTTTAGTCAATGTGAGAATCATCATCGTAACATTGCATTGGTTAGAATAATTAGGCAAAGGGTCCAAGAATTAAACTTAAAAAATGCAACTAGTTTATTATTGGAGGATAAATTGTTGCATTACATTTTGGTCTCCATGTTAGAACCTGATCAAGATAATTATGAATTAGTTACTAGTGATGACATATTGCAATCAATTGGTCATATTAGATATGTCAACTCCTAAGAAATGCTAAGAAAAAAATGGTATGTGCCTTTCATATGTTGTGTCAAAACTATTGGATATTCATGACATTTGGAGATGTTGAGATTAGACCTACTTAGACTAATTATTTTAATCAACGTACCCTAAACAAATTAAATATAAAAAATGTTAATGAAATGTGACAATATGGTGATAAGCAGTAACACAATGAAAAAAAATGCTAAAAACTACTATCATAATCAAAATGATGATATCCATAGTGAACCAAATTTTTCTCAAGATAATGATATTTTAAATTGTATTTATATTGGCATTCAAAGCTTACAAATTAGATTACAAAATTTAACAATTAGTGTACAAATTTTGATACAAAAGTTGACACAAGATTTAAAGAATTTGATCAAAAGGCTTGTAAGACTTGAAAATCTTTTACTTACACAAATCATCTGGGTAACTCATTATGATCTAAATGTCGTTAAGTATCTTTGTCTATTTATATTTTTTATGCATGTGTTTAAGTACCAAATTTAACATTTAATCACCTCTATGTTTGTATTGTAAGTATAAACCTATTTTATGTATTTTTATTATTTATTTTAGTTAGACTATATTAAATCTAAGTATCTTTATGTTGTACATTAATAATACATAAATATTAACTATACTATAAAAACAATTATATAGTATAGTTAATATCCATAGTGAACCAAATTTTTCTCAAGATAATGATATTTTAAATTGTATTTATATTGGCATTCAAAGCTTACAAATTAGATTACAAAATTTAACAATTAGTGTACAAATTTTGATACAAAAGTTGACACAAGATTTAAAGAATTTGATCAAAAGGCTTGTAAGACTTGAAAATCTTTTACTTACACAAATCATCTGGGTAACTCATTATGATCTAAATGTCGTTAAGTATCTTTGTCTATTTATGTTTTTTATGCATGTGTTTAAGTACCAAATTTAACATTTAATCACCTCTATGTTTGTATTGTAAGTATAAACCTATTTTATGTATTTTTATTATTTATTTTAGTTAGACTATATTAAATCTAAGTATCTTTATGTTGTACATTAATAATACATAAATATTAACTATACTATAAAAACAATTATATACTAAAAATAGTCGTTTATCATTAATAATAATAATTATTAATTAACATTAATTATGAGTAACATATTTATTGAAATAAAACCACTTTATTCAAATAAATATTCATTCGAATAAACAATACATTTATTCCAATAACACCAATTCTAAGAAGTAATGTTATTTGAATAAATGTGTTATTTATTCAAATAAACAACTCGTTTATAGGAATTAAACCACTTCAAAATAATTTATTTGAATAAATATATTATTTATTCAAATAAACAACTCGTTTATAGGAATTAAACCACTTCAAAATAATTTATTTGAATAAATATATTATTTATTCAAATAAACATGTTTATTCGACTTTGAATAAATTATTTTTTTATTGGAATAAACAATTTTACTGTCAAAGTAATATTATAATTTAAGTACTAATTATAATTATTTTTATTCATTTAAATCTAACAATTTTATAATTTTCTTCTATTTTTTACTTATTTAACTTTATTTTCATTATTTTTCTTACCTATTTTTACTCCCTTATTTATCTTTCCTCTTTCTCTCCTCACAATCAAACACAACATAAATGTTTGTCTAGTATGAAAAACTTCTACCAAAAATTAAGGTTGATTCATTTAACTGGTACCACTGTCAATTACCCTCAATTGTTAAGAATTTCACTCATCAAAGTTTTTGAATTTAAATCAGTATGAAAACTAGACCTTAATCCAACTAGTATCCACATAATATATTTACTATTTTTTATAACCAAAACTTAATATTTAATCAAATTTTAAATTAAATGATTCTGTTTGTAATGTCTTATCATTAGAAATTATTTTTTTAAAATATTTTTTTAATAATAATGTCTAATATTAAACATGTTCTTTTTAACATTATTTTTATAATATTATCATTCATATTATACTAACTTGCTAAACCCTAAACAAACATTATCGAAGATCATGTTCATATTAACTAAAATACGAATAGTTCAAGTATGTGTAAAAATATCCCAAAAAAAAAAATATTAGAGGGTGAAAGTTACTATTCAAGTATGTGTAAAAATACCCAAAATAATAATAATAATAATAATAATAATAATAATAATAATAATAATAATAATAATAATAATATAGGGTGAAAGTTATTAACTGCAATCATGGATATTTTTTTAAAAAGGCAAATAAATAGAAGGATATTTTTTTAAAGAGGCAAATATATAGAAGGGTACTCCGGTATCCTATCCATTATCATCCCGATTTTATATATATGAAAACTTATATTTTTAATCCCAAAAAACATTTTATTGAATTTAGTCTCAACAAATTTTATTCGTCTGTAATCCTTAAAAACTCCAAAACATAGGAGTTCAGTCCCTCACAAAAGATTAAGACCATGTCCTTTTGTTAATTGGAAGGACTTGAAACGAATAAAAATTTTATATAATAAAATCAAAACACGACACATTTTTAGTGACTACAGACATTTGAACCAAACTTCAATCAAGGAATCATCAATCCTATTGTCCCATTTTCGAGGGGGGGAAAAGATCATATACGCAATATGTCAGATATTAATATCATACAATAGATCGAATACCATATAGTTTAGTTTCATCATGAGTTGTAGTAAGACCAACAAAAGATAATACGGAAACAAATACTTTACCACTACAAAGCCAAAAGAGTAAAAAAACTTCCCGTTTACCTGCGTCCTTGATTGCCTGCATCAAAAGCAAATCAAACTGACCAGGATAAGCTATTCAATAATGCAAAGACACTGATATTACTTTGGTAATAAATAAATTCTCATTTTTGCCATAGATGTACAAGCAACCAGAGGCAGTACCTGGCTCTCACACAACACACACATATAAGAGTAAATTATATAAGCACACTTTAAGGTTTCATGAAATTACACAAACACTCCCTATGTTTCCTAATCCTACAGTAACCCCTTAAATGCTTGAAAAACATCATTCTAACACCCCCTTAGACATTACACTAACTCTCTTAATTTTTTTGGAAAACATTATAGTGTAACCCCCCTGTAAGGGAGGTTATCAAAAACATTAAAAAAAAAAAAATTTTAAAAAAGGGAGTGTCAGTATAATTTCACGAAACCTCAAGAGTTGATGGTGTAATTTACTCTCTATATAATCTAATGAGTCTACATTAGTTTCAGCAATAAGATGCATTACTCTTGGAAATGATTTACAAAGGAAAATATTGTTATAAACGGATTAAAAATCTTTTCTTCAATTCAGACAGCCAAACAATGAACCAATTCACAATATGAATGTGTTTGGATTATATATAATGAAGCAACTTGCAACAACAATCATGATCTAAACATGATGATAGTCCCATCACGCTTTCCATTATGCTGCAAGTAAAGGATGAATTTAGTTGATGTTGTAAAATCTTTAATTGTAAATATATCAGCGGGAAAAATAAGATCTATGTTAGTCAGAAGTCAACTAAAAAGCATTACCTAAAATAAATCTAGTGGTAAAAAAAAATCAACCTGAAATAGTACACAAGGAATCAAATTACCTAGAATTTAGTCAGAAGTCAGAGCCACCACTCCATCATAAACCTGTACAAGTACTTATCTGCTTCGTAACACCTCCCACAAATTGCCTGCCTCAACTGGTGAGGCGGGTTGACATTAGATGTCAATGTTATTCTAGAAGGTTGTCACTGCCTTCAGTTTCTTTGCTGCGATCACCTTCTTCCACGCAATCAGCATCATGCAAATCATATTCAACAGGATGTATGATCTTACCAAATAGCAGAATTGAACCAGAACCAACTTTAGTGTTGCTGTTGTGGGTCCCAGTAAACTCTGTGCAAGAGGAATGTAAACTACTCTGGCTATGTGGTGAAAGGTCATCTGATTGAGAACTGCCAATGTTTAGCTCTGTTGACACAGTTTCCAACCTTTGCACCGTATTGTTCACCAAGGAACTACTACCCAAATACAGATAAGAGTTATCATTTAAAAAGTTGGAAAAATTCGTTGCAGAAAATAGATCATGCCTGGCTCCCTGCATGCCAGCAGGAAAAGTATCATAACAAAACATTTTTTTATTCAGGTGTCCCATTGTTGAGTTAGGGAACAACCCTGACATAGGAAAGGGGTCTCCCTCTCTTTCACCCAGCAGCCCAGAACCCTGGTCAGCTCTAAACCTTTTTGTAGGGGGAAATACTGTATGAAGTGCAAGTGTGGGGGAAGCAAGTTCAACCTGCCAAGGACTGACCCGCTTTGCATTTTGCAAGACTTCAGGTTCATCCCAGATAACCTATGATATTGATATCATCAGAAATGGTAAGAAACCAACAGCAGTCATTTGAGATAAGAATATGCATCACAAATAACAAAATACAGAACAGATCTTAATTGTAGTGATCTCCTCTGTCCTCTATATCATATCCATTGGATAAGTATGAATTTACTAATACTAAAATTATTTCTTAAAAGCAAAATCTTGTGAATTGAATCCCACGAGTAGAACATATGGACACATGCAGAAATTAAAGAAGCCACAAGACAAATTATCAATTCAAATGAGAAAATGCCACCTTAACCTCATCCTAAACCAGAGTAAAAACATAGATATAATTTATATCTTATAAACTTATGATACAGCAAGTCTACCACTTTCTCAGCTCAGTCTCTTCAGAAATGTAAGGTAAATATGTACTACCTGAACCTTCTCCAATATTTTACAAGACAAGAAAAGCTGAGGTTGGCTACTACATAGATCACATGATGTCATTCAGTTCAGTTAAATACCAAAACTTCAGAGATATCATTCACCATGAAATCCTTGTCAAGTGTTAACAATTTCCTCCAATGTCTTAATGCCCAAAAATACATGCCAACTTGCATTGGAACTTTTCATTGATACTGAGGAGCATACATTTTCCCTATTGCCCATATACTAAGACCATATCCACTTGCAACCACAAAGCACCATTATAAGAATCCATCCTAAGATGAGGTGTAATTCCCTAACCCTCTCCAATCATCACCGCAAGCATTGAGCGTGAGACTAATCCCATTGGGCACAAAGAAACACGATATCAACCTTCTCCAATTTAAAATACAAGACCATCCCAAACAATAAGTTATCAAGATTCAGAATACTTCTATGCTTCATAAACCATATAAACTAGCACTGTACAAGTCGATTAACAAAAACTTCAGAGTGATGTGTTAACCAGTTCCCAAGAAACATTAAATATACTTTTAATTACTCAAAAAGAGTAATTATTAGATACTTCTTATATTTCTCATATAATAAATCCTTCCTTTCTAATAAAATACTCTCTATCTTTGTTATCCAAATAAGACATACAAGGCACTAGCTAGCATTTGGCAAAACTATAAGAGCACCATTTATCCTCCTATTCTTTCTTTCTGCACAAGAAAGGCCATGTTGGAATTAACTTCTAACTTATGGAAACATTTTAACTCAGACAAGTATTTGGTTCCTAACTTACAAAAAAGCCGTTACAGGTTCATAGTTGTATATTGACAAGTTAGTTCCACGAGTCATGAGTGAACTTCCAAAACTGTATCACGTACATAAGTTAATTTTAACTTACACAAAAAGTTTATCCATATTGACTCAAAGACAACATAAATTCTCAATCACACAACACGATGCAAACCAAGAATACCTGAAGCATGCGCCAAGGTCCATTATCAGTGGCACATGCAGAAGCAACCATCCCCTGAAACCACGTCATTCTGGAAGAATCCTCGGTCTCTATTCCTATCTTCACTCTCGTTCCACCAACCCACGCGTACTTCATCGCTTCATCCACAACCTCAGCACTCACCACAAAATCAGCAAAACCCGCCCTCGGATAATACACCACCTCAAACGGCTCGTTCCGCGCCGCCGCCTCCGCCGCCGCAGCCACCGCCTTGGGCGACACTCTCCCCGTCGTGCTCCGCGAAAACCCCGCCCCTTCCGCCGCCTCCACCTCGACGGCCTCGCTCTTCATCGCAAACCGCGCCGCGCGGCGGATCCCGACGGAGACCCTTCCCTCGGAGTCCCGCATGAACACGACGGAGTCGCCGGCGACGAGCTTCTTGTGGTTGACGAACTTGCTCCAGCCGGTGGTGAAGAGGTGCCGGCGCGGCGTCCCGCGGTAGATGTGGCGGAACCGCCACGCGACGCCGTGGACGTCGGTGATGGAGAGGTACTGGTAGGGAGGGTCGGCGCGGAAATCGAGGGGAGGGAAGATGGAGTCGGCACAGTATCGCGGAACGGAGAATCCGCCGCCGTTGTTGGCGTCGGAGGGAGTGAGGATTTTGGAGAATGAAACGACGTCGCTCTGGTGGTCGTTTTGGTGGTCGTTTGCGTTGTTGTGGTGGAAAGGGAAGGGAGTGAGAGTGAGTTTGGCGAAGACCTCGTCGGAGTAGGGATCGGCGAGCAAATCGATGGAGGACACGTGGCAGGGAACGAAGGGGAGGGATCGCAGGAGTGGTTCGAGGGAGGGAGAATGTGAGGGAGACGCGTGCTCCATGTGGCCCTGCGGGAAGTAGTAAACCCTAGAATGCAGCTTGGGGATTCTCACGGCGGCGCCGGCACATGCGCGCCAGATTTTCGGGTCCACGCGGCGGGGCTGCGGCAGAGGCATGGCGACGACGCGAGAATTGGATTGGACTAGAGAGAAGGAGAGGTTCGACTAGGGTTTATATTTTTAGACATGGGAATGGGAATGGGAATGAGAGTGGCAGTGCCAATGCGGGTTTTGTTGTAGCTGTGACCGCTTTTCTCTCCAAGCGGTTGTTGTGTCCGATACCATTTGCCAACATGTCGCTACTCCCCACTCTTCCATTATTTTTTTTTTTATTTTTTTTTAAATAAATACTTATGTTCTCCAACCAATAGGATAAAATACTAGTTATAATTTAAACCAATTTTAAAATATGAACGGAATATTCTATTTTTATTTTTTAGTGTCTTACTTGGTGTATCTTCTTTACGTAACTATCTTTCATCTCTATTTTATTCATAGACATTTTTACCATCTCTTCACTTGCTTTTTAGTTACTCTTTCATATTTTTTATTTTTTTAGATTTAGACAATTTTTTCTTTTAATTTTAAATAATACAAAATTACTTTTAAACAACAAAAAAAATTTGATCTTTATATTTAATAGATCAGTATATCATTTATTATTAATTAAAAACTAAAAATAATATTATTTTATTAAATTTAAGATTTGAACTCGAAATTTTAAAACAAATTAATTATAACACAAATAAAATTAATAAAAATTAATTATTTAATTAAATATCTTTATTACTTAATTAATAATAAAAATATGAAATATGTCAACCCCACTTATTTATACATAAAAAGTGATAAATATTTATTTATATAGTGTTTTATCTCAATCCACTTGCATTGTAATTACTCTTTCATTCATTAATAGAAATGACCCTCGACTACTTTTTTTTTTATCATAATTGTATTTCTTTATTTTTTATTTTTTAGATAAATATAAAGAGCCCACAAGTAAATATAATAGGATAAATATTTATTTTTATAATTAAATTTTATCTTAATAATTTTTTAATATATAAATTATTATTTGAATTTATAATGAAGCTTATAAATTGTAAGAGATAAATAGATAAAGTCAAAATTAAATTTGAATTTTTTTTCAATAAAGTTGTGTTTTGAATGAAAAATTCTAAAAATTTACATAATTTGAAATATTGAAATTTAAATTAGAAATACAAATTTCTTTCATTTATTAAATACTAGTTTTAACATGCACATTTCACAAGCCAAATGTGTATAACCAAAAATTTATAATAATATCAACTCTTATATATTATACATAATCAAAACTTATGCGATATCATTTTTAGGAACAATTTATAATAACTTCTTTTTTAATTACATATTTATTTATGAATTAAATTTTAGTATTCTAAAATATATTATTAATAATTAAAATAATTTTATATCATAATATAAATTAAATTAAATATAATATAATATATAATATAAATATTTTAAAATATATACTTATGTAAATTTTTAATTTAATATTTTATATATTTAATATAGTATTTATTTGTACATATAATTTATTATAATTTTATTTGTATACAATAAAAATTTAGCCTAGAAAATACACAAATTAAAATACTAGTTATGTTGAATATGTAAATTATATTTAAAATTTATAAAAATATTTTTTAACTGTTGATGTTATATTTTAGATAAATAATTTATAGTATGATATAGATTTATTTTTAATTATTAATAACTTATTTTAAAAAAAATTAATTCATATTTAAATATGATAAATAAAAAAATTAAATTATAGGAGTTCATTTTTTTTTGATAAATCAATTAAATTTTTTTAAATTTTAATTTTTAATTTGAATAAGGTAATTTAATTTTTTCCATATTTAATTTTTTTAATATATATATCAAAATTTTAATAATATCCAACTTTCAATATTTAATAATTTAAAAATATTTTGATATTATTTTTAACACAACTTAATATTAGTTAATATTTAATACTTTATAAATAATTTGAAATATTTAAGAATTAAAAAAATATATTGACACCTTTAACATCAACATTAGCCATCACTCAGATGAGAGTATATTCAAAAAAAAATATTAAATCATTAAGGTTGACTTAGTGGTGGATTAGTTGATGGAATCATGCCTAGGAAGACAAGGGGTGACACATTGAAGGAGGCAAGAGGAATGGACTAAACATGAAGGTTTGGGTCAGTCAAGGTCCAATAGGCTCGATGTGCTTGGAAGGCCCAAGTTGAGTGTCTCATGGGCCATATCTTGTTTTAGCTATTTTCTTTATGTCTTGTAAATATCATATTAGGTAGGTTTCATATATTTTAGGTCTTGTATTTTGACCATTTTGGATAGTATTTTAGGCTATAGGCTTATTGGGCCTAGTTTTGGGCTTTGTGGGCCTTTGGGCTTTTGGTACCCAATATTGGGCTCATTTTAATTCTTGTAATTTTTCCTTTTCATTGTATTTGCTTGGCCATTGTATTTAGGCCATTAGAATAGGAATTTAGAAGGATTAAGTAATAAAGCATGAATCATAGAATGTTAATTACATTTAGGAGTAATTAGAGTTTCATTTGGGTCACATGTTTTGTGCCAAAGGTGGCTGCACATGTGTACATTCAAATGAACCCTAAATTACCTCTAAATGCAATTAATAATCTAGAAGGAATGGCTGCACATGGTTTAGGATAGTTGGACGTCCAATTTGAATTCAAATTTGAATTTAAATTCAAATTGGCGCCATTTGTTAGTGCACATGGGTGGCTCCTTGATCCGTGGCTTTATATGCTTGTATCATTCAATTTTGTTAACACTTTGGAATCAATAGAGAATTCTGAAAGGTTTATTCAGCCTATTCTCTCTCAAAGGTCACCGAAAGTCTCCTTTAGTTCTAGGAATCCCTAAACTTTCCTACACTTGAAGTGAGCTTTCATTTGGTTCTTTTGGCTAGGATACTTCCATCCATAACCTAGGGAGTCTTCTTCACCAATTCTCTTCTCTTCTTCCACCATTCAAACAGAGTAATTCTCAAGGAAAAGATCAATGCATCCGGAGGAGGTCCAAAGAAGCAAATAGCCTATCATTGTTTCAACCTAAACTCCATCATTAGTGGATGGTGGGTGAGGATTAAAATAATATATATAAGATCTTAAATTCAAATTTTATTGATATCATTGTAATGTAGAATAAGGAACCAAAGAGAGGGGGCAAGAAAGAGAATGAGAAGATGAAAGGAAGAAGGGAGAGATGAAAAAAAGGAGAAGCATAAAGAAAATTAAATAAATAAATAAATAAGAGGATAAAGAAAAAGAAAAAGACCATAAAGATGGAGAGATTAAAAAAAAAGGAGAGAAAAAAACGAGGGAGAAAGAAAAGATGTGTGTGTGTGTGTTTGTTTGAGAGGTGAGAAAAAAAATAAACATGAAAAAATTCAAATTCTTATTTTTTTTGTGGGATTTAAAATAGTGATCAAAATATTTTCATAAATTACTAGAAATTTATTTTCTTTTAAAAAAATTTATTTAAACAAAATGTTTGAGTATAAAACATTTTAAATTATCTAACAATACCATCTAGAAATTCCTCGTCTAAATACAAGGTGTACTAACCTCATCGACGATGTAAGCTCAACATACACTTGTATTATCAAGTTAATATACCAATCTTTAACTTGGACAATCATCTTGTGTTGTATGTGATAAGGAAATTGGTATATTATCTTAGTTGTATTATTCATATACCAACTTGGAAACACCAATGTTTTAGTTTCTTTATATCGTAATTGCGACAGCTACAAAACCAACGAAATGGCATGTAGAGTCAAGAGAAAATCTTACAAAATAAGCATTCCATCCATGTTTACTTTGGTAAGAACATTTTAGCGTCCATCGTGGGACCAAAGTAATTTTTCTTTGACCATCTATGGTTTCAACCCAAAGTCACACAAGGAGTGTTACGGGAGTAGCAAATCAAGGGACATTATCCATGAAAGATAGTGCAGCTTTGCGGAGATTAGTAAACCAAATTAAAGTCATGTGATAGAAAATATTAAAGTAATGGAAACACTATGTCATCAACGTGAAGCTGATCTTCAAACATTGTGTGTTGAGAATGAAATTATCAAAGATCAGTTATGACAACAACAACAACCACCATAACCACAAAATAAATACAATCATGTCCCTACTGAAGAAGAAGAATGTCATTATTCTCTTGATCACACATACCAATTTGAACATGTAACCACTCATAGTCAATCTCACCATTACAAGGTCATCATCCCATCCAATGACATCCTTTCGTTGATGGGATAATAAAGATTCCTCTCCCTGTAGGTTAGAAAACATTGAACGATATGGCGACACTTCTGATCCCGATGAACAAATTGATGCTTATATCACTCAAAGGAATCCTTACACAAATGAAGATGTCATCATGTGTCATGTATTTTTGACATTATTGAAAGGAGCAACGTTAAGTTAGTACACTCAATTACCACCAAGATCTATTGACAATTTTGACACTCTTATTTGATCTTTCATAACCCAATATGCCGCCAGTAGACCTCATCATATCACCTTGGTTGCTCTTTCAAACTTACAACAAGCAAACGATGAGTCACTATGGAAATTTATGGAACATTTTACTAGTGTCTATAAAAATTTGCAATCTCAACCTTAAAGTTGCCTTACATTTCATGCTCATGTCTCTTAAACTAGGACCTTTTGTTGATAGTTTGTCTCGTAGACAACCAAATAACATCGACAAGTTTCATGCACGAGTTGCTGGTAGATCCAAATGGAATAGCATATCTTCAAAGACCAAAACTCCAAGGTCGACCTCTTGTCTAGCACCAAACATCTCGGCCAACATAATACAATCATCCAAGAAGTTTTTACAACTCCTACTTTTGAATTAAAAATAATCTTAGTTGATGAAGTCGACAATAGAGGTTGGATGACAAACATTTGAAATTATCTCAACGATGGGATACTACTAAAAAACAAAGTAGAAGCCAAGAAAGTCAAGACTAGAACATGTCATTTCATCATTGAAGCTGGTGAAATTTTCAATATAAATATCTTCTCTCCTTTTCTTAAATGTTTAATAAAAGATCAAACGCAATATGTGATTGAAGAGATACATAGAGGTATCTATGGTATGCATTATGAAGCTTGATCCATGGCTACTAGAGTCATTTGAGCTAGTTATTATTGGCCAACCATAAGAT